AACTGGAGTCAAATGACAGAATCGATGGAAAGGAAGAGTGAGCCATAAAAACTGATAAAATAAGTGGCTGGGGAAATTTAGTTGCACATGGTATGGATCCTAAGGAGAGTCCAAGCCATCGAAGTTACATTGTGTCGTCATCGAGCCAGTCAGAAGATTGTAACATAAAACTATAACTACATTTCGAAACGGTAAGGTACGAAGCTCCAAAAAAAAAATACCTGGAAACATTCTGCCGGTAAGAAAAAAGTTCGTAATATTGACTGCTTAATGCGTTAACTCCGTTATCTTAACTCGTAACTCGTCAGATAAGACATCGTTTGGAGTCGTTACACCATTCAAAATTAATAGCAAATGTCAGCAAAGGATCGAAAAAAGTTTATGCAAAATCTGTTTTGTGTCATACATAAAATGCATCTGCCAGCGCTATCACTGCAGATGAACTTGTTCGCTGCTCTCGTCTTGAACGGCTATTCAACGAAAGTCAGTCATTACGAAAAAGAAAATTTCCCCAATTACGGAGGGTTGTTACATCTTGAAATATGGTTTTATTAGAATTTATTAATTGGTGCGTCGATAAATCCTATACAATCTTTCTACATAGTCATAATAATTAAAAAAATTCCCCCTTTTAGACGATAAATGGAAAATGTAGTTCAACCGAGACTGGTTTTCAAACGAGGCAATGTACTGATCCTTACACTTGTGCACTCAGAATAGGTGTTGAGAAATGAGTGGTTTAATTCTTAAAACTTTTGTTCATATGTTTAACGCCTTTGTTAATGGAGCTCTTCTTGAGATGGAGATAAGCTAAATATATATCCATAAAAAACACAAGTTTACGGCAGAATTGATTAGCCTATTTTTCTTATTTACCACCAGTTCGATTATTTTGAGGCTGATGGTAAAAACCTCCGACTTTTAAGTGGATTGGTAGCTCGCGAGTTGATCTGCGTCTAATAAATTTCATAATTTCTTCCTCGGAAGAATTCTTTGACTCACTGCTCCTGTTATATTCAGTGTTGTCTTGTGAAGTGATGGGTACCGAGTAAGACTCTTCGATCTGACGTAGTTTAGATGACGTTCTTTGGCATGGAATTTCATGATTGTTTTTAAGGATTTGGCTGATCACATTGAGCAATTTTGCATCCTGTTGTTCATCTTCCATAGCGAGATCACCGGCCAACACACCAATCCTTTCAACAGCTGTTCTAATGAAGAATCCAAATCAAGCTCACTTGAAGAAATTTTTTCGGGTGTTTCGGGCGTTCTTTTTGAAGATTTTGGACTAATCTGTCTCTCAAACTCTAACTTGGTTGTCAAATGCTGTGATGGGGATTTTTTAATGGCTGTCTGCTTAACTTTGGCCTTCAAGTTTTCGTTAGGTTTTGAGCCGCTTTCATCGGACGTTTCTCTTGAAGGAAAATCGAAGTTATCCTGGGAATTGGTAGAAGCTGCGTCATCCTCCCTCACTGAGGCATTCTGACCCGCATCTTTCCCTCGCTTGCTAATTCCTAACATTTCAAACACTCTCTCTAGTATAAAATCAGCCATCTCAAATTCTTTGTATTGTTTATCAGTGTTGCTTTTGACGTCTTCAAAAGAATCGTTCAAAATTGCCACGAAAAAGTGTACAAAAATGAAGGACATCATAGAAAGGAAGGAAATACCGTATAAAGGACCCAAAAAGCGATGAACTCCTATTAACTCATGAAATCTCATTTGGCCGCCAAAGCACATGATAACTTCAGAGAACAATGCATTGTAGACTGATGAGTAACCATGAATGTGGTCGCCTAATGCCAGCTTCCCCATCTGAGCGTATGAGACGAAAATAATGACAAAAAATCACAGAATAGGACAACAATAAACTCCTACAAACGCGAAATGAGGACATCATTATTGAAAAGTGCTTATTAAAGCGAATTATGTGTAGAAGTGTCAAGGTTGCGAGGAAAGCTGCAATGATTAAAACAGTGGTTTCTGCATGGCTCTAGGTAACGGCTTCTCCAAAACTAACGGTGGCGAATGGGTTTTCCTTCACAATAGCAGCGAGTTTAAGTATCAGCTTTGACTTAATTATGTAGAATACCACGACCAGCACCGACAATAATATTCGTAGGATTTCCACCCAGTTCCACACATATCTAAAATAGGTCCACTTAGCTCGATACAGCTTATACATCTCGACGATGAAAAAGACGAATGCCATCATGATAAATAACAACTGACAAATCAGATAAAACTCGTAAAAGCCTGTTTCAGTACTTTTCAGCAGAAGAGTGTCTATCTTTGAAAAAGGATAGCCATACCCTGTGGGCAATATTTCAAAATGATACGCTGAAATGATTAGGTAGCCCATGTTAGGGTTATAGATAGTGAACTCAAGTAGGACGGCACGGGTCTGCCGGTCGATCCAACCGTATTCTATCAAGTCGGAGATGACTGCCTGAGCTTTACTGCTATTGTAGCCTAGATCTGCAACATAACCACCTCCATCATGAACATCGAAGTAACCCCAGCTAGGTGAGAGTCCTTCGTTTGGCACATATTGCCATGGTACCGGGCATAGTTCGGAAAAATTTGCCCATTCTACAGAACCACTGAAGGGTTCCCAGCCTGGAAGGTTTGCAGGAGTTTTATCCTCTTCATCGAAATTATAGAGGTCGTAGCAGCCCCTGTTTATGATGCCTCGTACCATCCTTGGAACAATGCAAAAAAGTGTAAATTAATGTCGAATACAGTCCTCACAAGTTTAATTGCCTTGTGTACTTTTCTTTCGTGTTGCCGGAGCGAAGATTTCATTGTTATAATCAGAGGAATCTGCCCTCTCTTTATTCTTTTATTTCTTTTATTACCCAATTTTTCCCTTTATTCCCTCTCTTTCTTTTCTTCTCCATGATTTAGGTTCTAATATTTGCTATATTTGCACTAACTTGAAAAACAGAAAAAAAGTTGTGAACTTTATTTTAAATGATCACCACAATTTTCTGGCCCCTAGGTTCACCGTCGACAATGATTTTTACCAATTCTACGTTTATAAGAGCGAAAGTTCTTAAATAATGTCATAATTACCTTTCTTTATCCTTAGTTGTCCCAAGCGAGGCATTCCTAAGAGAATAGAAATCTTGTTACCAATGTACTCTTGCTTTTTGATTTTGTCGTTGTTGTACCAGTTGCTGTCTTAGACACCGACCACAAACCGAATATCGAGCCATTTCCAGAAATACGTAGATCGTAAGCCTAGGCAGGAAAAAAACGTTCTAAAATGTGTGGTGACCACGAACCAAAAGACACACATGCCAGGGAGGTAGAGAAATATTCTGCGTAATTATAACGTGATAAATTAAAAATTGAATGTGTGTGGTTTCAGTTGCTTAAGTGCAACTAAGTAATAGCCATCTCTAAAATAAACTTTGACTTCCGTAGAAGGAATTTTCAGTAGTTAAATCTCGCTTTGACATAGAATATATCAGTATCATATCGCGTTCAGTTAAATTTAAATGCACTTAGTGAAACTTTTACCATTCATTTAATACATAAAGCGCTACCTAGAGGACAAATAACACAACAGACATTGACAGAAGAAAAACTCACTTTTTCCACAACTTTTTTGGGTGAAATTAGAATAAACAAATTATTGGGATGGTTACTTAAATTCATGTTTTTCACCTTGATATTTACAAGTTACACTGCTCTCATGGGCTCTCATTGGCACCTTCGTTGCAGCGTTGTCTTTCCATGTACTTTGCTTAACAACAGTCTGCATGTTACATCATTGTCAGTTGATGTTCCATTCTTGAACGCCAAGTAGTCTTCAATAGGGGTAAGCTGTTCACATAACTCCAAAACACCAGCAATGCAGTGGGTTGGAGCATTCATCCACTCACCCAGCCATGTGAAATAACTAGAGTCATAAAATGGTATCCACTTTATTATAGAGCTCTCTTTTGTAGCCTAAGTATTCTTAAAAGAGATTCATTAGAGCAAAGTGACTGCCATGCAACATTGGCATAATCAAATAATGGCTTAATTAAACTATTATAAAATAAAAGTCTTTGGTTAAATGGTAAACAAAGTTTGATCTTATTCAAAATTCCAATTCTTTGTGAAATTTTTTTTTTTTGGGTACCAAGAAGTTTAGCTGAGGGTACTTGTTCCAATGATACACCATTCAGTTTCTTCCCAAGGCGTTTGCCTGTGACCAGTAGTGTTTTTGAGAGGAAGTTTATTGGTGTGCGTCCAGCATTCCATCTAAATGACAAAAAGTAAAGGGCCAAGGATACTACCCTGTGGAACACCATGCCTCACAAGAGTAGAGTCAGATTTGTCTTCAATAGGATCCTCACGGTCCCCAGATTTAAACAACGGGGCTATCTTCCAACAAAGCTGTTGAATAACATAACTCCAGAAAACACCAGCAATGCAAAAGTGGGTTGGAGCATTCATCCACAGTGAATCACCCAGCCATGTGAAATAACTCTTATTATAGAGTTGGGTCACCATCTTTTCAATGATGAGGATATCTGTGGTTGCATTAGATCCAGTCTTCGCCTCCCTCTGTTCCCCTTCTATCACGTCATTTGCGTTAAGGCGTATGTCGCGTGGGATCTGCGTGCACGATGTGAACCATTTATAGATGTTGTTAAGACTAGTGATAGGTCTTTAGTTCTCACTCGAGAAGTCTTTTGGTTTGGGTATGAGTCGTGTTTTACCCTTTGCAAACCATAACGGGTAGGCCTCGTTGACTTCAGAAATTGCCTTAAATGCTCGTGATCCCGTCAAATGTACGTCATTTCGCATAATTGCTTCGTGACACCTTGCTCGCTTCCACCAGAAGTTGACTAATCTCTCCGGACCAGGTGCACTAAAGTTTCTCTTCTTGAGTACGACCTTTACGAGTACCTCGGTTTCTAACATCCAGTCCTGATCTGCAATAAACTGTACCTTTCTGGAAATTACTTGTTTTATTTCCTGAAGCCATTCAGCATTGTTGTTACCAGTCCCTCTTGTTTCCCATAGGCTCTTCCAAAAGATACTCACATCCTCAATATTCTCGAATACATCAGTGTTGCCATGGGAACCGTTCTTAGCTTTTTTTTTTCTACGTAGGTCGATCTTATGTTCCATCACACATGAATACAAACAAAGAGTAGAACCGCCTTGTATCTTGTTTAAATTGTTGTCAAGCGATCTTGCCTTATGTTTTTTTTAAGTTTCCTGCTGTCCCTTGTCTCTTCAGCTCTGCCTTCGCAATGGATATTCTCTTGCCGAGTTCAGCCGCTTCATCTTCAAAAACTTACTTCTTTCTGGTAGAATTCTTAGTTCCACTGTGACTCGAACCTATCTTCTAGCCTTTCAGCAATAGAAAGGCAACAACGGTTAAGTAGAGAGCGCAGTTATCGGGCCACAAATAGCCAAAAGGGTTTTCAGATGACGATACGCGGTGCCGGTTCATAAATTCCATCACACTCTCCTTTATGTGTTATCATTGTTATTATCTCTTCCATCACAGTCTTAACTGGAGTTTTTTTTTTTGAGCATCAGCCGGGTGCAAACCATGCACCTAGGGCATCAGTCACTCAAGTCAATCATTCTGTTCATACCCCAAGCACTTTTTGGAAGATTCGCGCAGATCCCATGTGCTTCTGACACTTTCTTTATGTCTTCCACCATCCTCTTCTTTTCTGTAGCAAGCGCACCAACAACCACAGGGATCACCACGGTTTTCATATGCCACATTCTCTGTATTTCCTATTCTAAGTACTTTTACTTGCTTTTCTTCTCCATTTCCTTCAGAGCGATGTTTCTTTCTGATGGAACAGTCATATCAATCAGTTTCCAGATGGAATCCACTGGATCTCTAACTACGATATCTGGTATGTTCGCTGTAAGTTATAGTTCACTCAGTATTGACCGGCATGTCCCATATGATAGTGATGTTGTTGTCTTTATTGTGCATCACAGTCTCTGGCTCGTGTTGGTACCATTTGTCTGTAGTCTCGATATCATGATCTTAACAGATGCTCCAATTGAGTTGGAGTCTTGAATAAGTGTTACAGGACCTTAGCATTTTCCGAGGCCAAATTATCTTCTCTGTTCTCAAGCTCTGGCATGGTTAATTCCCTTTTGAACTTAGTAGCAGTCTTGGTTATTGAATTTTTGGCTTTAGATCTTTCATGTTCCAGCACCTGCTTTGGATATTGCCCTCTTTGTGCCTCAGATAATAATTGAGCGCTATTGTTACTGTTTTGAATGCCGTTTCTACATCAATCAGGCCCCTTCCTCCATCTTTTCTTGGGATGTACAGCCTTTCCATATCTGCTTTAGGATGCAACATCTTGTGCATGTTGAATAGTTTCCGTCACAGCTTTGTGTCAATCTTCTTCCGTTCGGAGATTTTCAAGCCTATTATACACAACTGGGACTGCAAGACTATTGATAGCTTCTATTTTGATTCTTCCATTGAGCTCAGTTGTTAGGATCAGTTTTACTCTCCTATTGTATTCTTTTCTTATCTTCTCTTTCAATTTCCTTTATTGGATACCATCACTTTCACCCACACCCAGGCATTTGTATACCCTTTTCTGGTCCAACTATTGTAATTCTGTGTCCTCATCTTTTACTATGTTTCCAGCTGAGGTCAGTTTACCTTTCTTCAAACAGGCTTTAGTGCATTTCTGACGGCCAAATTCCATATCGATATCATCACTGAATTGTTTCACTATTTTCAGTTCTCCAACTTGTTCCTGCTCGTTCTTGCTGTATAATTTTAGATCATCAATATAAAACAGATAAACTGATGTTAAAGACACAAGGGCTAGGCAAAGTAGCAGAGGTGAGAATGAATCTCCTTGAAAGATTACCCGTTTGACATTGATCTGATCCGTTGTGATGCATCCATTATTGTAAAGCAGCTTCATTGTAGTTTTCCAGTTGCTCATTAAGGTTTCCACTAACTTGATTAGTCTTTCATTTCTGCTGAATGGTTGTTCTCTCTATTTTTCTTCAAGATGGAACGGCGAAATGTTTCTGTTGCTTCTCTCTTAGGTGTTTTTCAACTAGTGTCTGTTCTTTATCAAGGTTTCTGAAGAATCTTTTGCTATTGTTTGCAAGCATCTGATTTTGACTGAATTGTTTTCTTCTTTTTACAAATCTCCTGAGTTTTTGGGCTTTTGCTTGAATTTTCATTTTGATGGATTCTCTTACTGTTTGCAGTTCTTGACTATTATTATTATTATTATTATTATGATCATTATTATCATTCAGTGAGAATCAAAGTGTGAGAGTCTAAAAGGTATAAACGCACTACGATACTCAAATCTATATGAATCCTCTTGAGGAGCGAGGGAAGCCTAGAAAAAGACAGAAAAGGGCACAAATACTTGCTCTTACAGGTTAAATTATCTCGCATGTAAACGTGGAATGAAATAAATTTCGTTCCGGAACGATTTGATATGTGTCACGCTTGTCATGCAACTGATATAAAAAGATGGGGAAGATATATAAAACGGAACTCCAATCTGGCTAGGATGTCGTATAGCATAACGTGATCATCGAAACAGCAAATAAAATCATAAATAAACAAGATAAGAGTGTTATGTTGGAACTTTTTGTAAATTGTAGTGATGTATGCCAGTAAACGGTGGCGACAAGTAGGCACGCCATGTATATTTCATAGTCGCTGGCAGGTAAATTTGCCAAACTTTGAGTTCGTCTGAAGATAGAACAACACAAATACACAAGGAGATTTTTACAGTAACTTTTTAACAATCGTTTAGTCTTTTAAAAAGCTTGATGCTACTTTTCGAAAAAGTATCTGGGACAAAAATATTCGTCAATAAATAAATATTTCTTTACCAGCTTCAACAATAAAAGGGGATTAAGTTTAGGTAATAAAACAAAGGATTGTGAGGACAGAAAAACCGGAGGTCAAGTAAATTCGTTACATGAGGTCACACAACTCGGGTAATATTCACGGTGAAAAGTTGCATATTTGAGCGGTCGAACGAAAAAATTATTCCTCGAAAAATGAAACACATTTCCACAATCATTAGAACATATTGGGCTACAAAATATGAAAGCAGGAGAAAAAGCAAACTTTTGGTGACTTGCCGCTGTTTGTCTCATGCATGTTGACATTAGCTCTTAAAATCTCACTTGGACGATTTTTCACTTCTCATCTCCGATTTTTTTCGCACTATATTTTCGATCAAATGACGAGAAAAAGTTTAATTCTGGATGGCCTTACGAGTGCTAATAGTTTTAGATAAATGTAAAAAAATAATATTTCAGGACTGAAATGCAACGCCATTTTATTTCCTTCTTTTCTATAGTTGCATACTGGATTTTTCTGATTATTAATTCGATTTAATTCTTTTCATCAAGATATTTACAGGCACAATCACTTCTGTCCATATCTTCTACATTCACATTATCGTGCAAAAATCTGCAGAAGAATCCGCCCATTGTGGTGCATTCCCGTGATCCCGTGCAAGCAACAAAGGGACAGTTGCACCAGTTTCCAAAATCATCTTTGGTATGGAAGTTGTCACAGTTTTTCCACTCGCCTCTGTACTTGACTTTGTCATATCTCTTTGGTAAAGTTTCTGTATCTACAAGAAATGGAAATAATGAATAAAGTTCTTATTAACGATAATAAAAAAAATATGTCATAGTTTGCACAAGCCTAAACTATTCTCTTTAATCTCTAGACGTACTGATGTGCAATGTATGACACGTCACCAACATTAAGGGGAGTACGTTTCTACAGAAACTTTGGGGCTGCGTTGGTAGAGGGTATTGCAAAATAAAATGGTTTTATAATGTGATTTGACAATGTAAATTGGCCACCGTAAAGAGCGTCTAAAGCTGACGTTTCGAGTGTTAGCCCCTCGTCAGAGCAGAGAAAATAGGAGCATAATTGAGATATAGCATCCTTTCCTCGTCTTTCGTTTTTAAAATTCTAATAGTTTAAGGCCAGATTAAAACTAGTTAACAGAATTAAATAAGTCAAATTGAAAGCAGAGGTTTTATAATACTTTACCTTGTATCTTGGTTTTGTGTTTTTTCAAGTGTTTGGCAGGAGCCAAAAGAAATGCCAAAGACAGAAGCAAAACAACACTTGTGAGTTTGAAACTCATCTTAGAGATAGAACACACTGGAAACTGAAAGAAAAGCAAACAGGAAACCCACAACATCACCGGGAGTAAGAAATTGTTACTTAACAACAAAGATTAAATGACAAAATAAGTACAAATGTAGGAGCACGGTTGTCCCGTTGAGCACACCGTCTGCAAGGCGAGTGTATCACCGTTCTTTTAACTCATAGTTCATATTACACAAAAGGCTTTTGTTGAACTTCTTCTTGCATGATGCAATTACAAAAAGTCGAACTTTCACTTATAAAAAGCGTGAAGTTCACGATGAAATACATACACAAAGATAACCAACACCACGAAGGAGAATAAAATGCAAGAAAAGAAGCTGTTATACGGTCCAATATCAGAGACAATTGTTAAAGACCATAAAAATTGTACATTTTACGTGATTTCTCTACTGCTAAAAGGATACCATATAATAATGAGCTTTGATTGAGAAAAATAAATTGAAGAATGTCCGAAAAAAGTTTTGAAATATGAAGAGACTTTACCTCAAGACTTATGGATCAACAGACCACTTGGTTGCGTTTGGATTGGAGAACTGAAACGTGATTGCCCTGCTCCTTAGATAAAGTTTTCACGGTGATTGCGTGGGACAAATGTAACAAAGCAACCACACTGCAACCAGACAAAAACAGGTGGAATATTGAAGGTATAATCTGATAAACTATGAGGTTTATATATATTTATTACCTGAACAAGTGCTGCATTTTGAAAAGGGTGATTGGCATGGTGCTTTGTTTGTTTTTCATTAGCTTCTTTGTTTTATTTTTAGCCCTTTCTAAAGCGCCTTTGTTGCTTTTAAGAAAAATAAGAAGATGACCGGAAATTTTTGAAAAATATAACAAACGTGTTTTAAAACTTCCGACTAGTAAACCAAAGAGACAGATGCGTCTGTTTATTATATGTGCGCTTCTCAAAAGGACTAGAAACTGTCCAATTATATTATTGATCTAGTCAATATTTGCCCATTTACACCGATATTTTTGGCTTTTTCCCCACCAAGTTACAATAGGACAGAAAATGCCCGATCCTTATCCATAATAGTAAATGGGACAGAAAAAGGGAAGGCATTGGCAACTTCAAATCAAGTTACGAGCAAAGGCAACGTCGAAATTGAAATGTTTTTACAAGCGCAAAAATATAAAAACATTAAATGTAATACTAAGAGCGACTGAAAAGCATGGAGGTAGTTTTGAGAGTCACCAAAAGAATGAGGTTTATTGAAAACATACCTGCCTTTGTGCTGGAGCCCCCTTTGTTTAAGTGTTTTTTCAATTATCATTATTTTTGTCTTCGTTCGTCCACAAGATGGTGCCAAGTACGATCTATGCACAGTTTTTTTAAGCTGCCTGCATGAAAGCCCGAGATTAAGGATGCACTTCCACTACAACGCAGCTAAATGACTTCAAGTTTTGTCAGAGCGTGCACAGTGACGAGCTTGAAGATTGTACATACAACATCAACGTTTTCTGCGGTGATTAGTCTAAGATCGCAATGCTGAACTGACGAGAACTGATCGAGCCACAGACAGGCGTAAAATTCATTGCATTTTTTTATCGAGCGTATACTAGAATAACGGCCATTTTTATTCTTCATTAACCAAATTTGTTTAAGGCTGGCCTTTCAACAGCTATTTCAGCCCTGTTTCAACTGGAGTCAAATGACATAATCGATGGAAAGGAAGAGTGAGCCATAAAAACTGATAAAATAACTGGCTGGGGAAATTTAGTTGCATGTGGTATGGATCCTAAGGAGAGTCCAAGCCATCGGAGTTACATTGTGTCGTCATCGAGCCAGTCAGAAGATTGTAACATAAAACTATAACTACATTTCGAAACGGTAAGGTACGAAGCTCCAAAAAAAAAATTGCCTGGAAACATTCTGCCGGTAAGAAAAAAGTTCGTAATATTTACTGCTTAATGCGTTAACTCTGTTATCTTAGCTCGTAACTCGTCAGATAAGACATCGTTTGGAGTCGTTACACCATTCAAAATTAATAGCAAATGTCAGCAAAGGATCGAAAAAAATTTATGCAAAATCTGTTTTATGTGTCATACATAAAATGCATCTGCCAGCGCTTTCACTGCAGATGAACTTGATCGCTGCTCTCGTCTTGAACGGCTATTCAACGAAAGTCAGTCATTACGAAAAAGAAAATTTCCCCAATTACGGAGGGTTGTTACATCTTGAAATATGGTTTTATTAGAATTTATTAATTGGTGCGTCGATAAATCCTATACAATCTTTCTACATAGTCATAATAATTAATAAAATTCCCCCTTTTAGACGAAAAATGGAAAATGTAGTTCAAGCGAGACTGGTTTTCAAACGAGGCACTGTACTGATCCTTACACTTGTGCACTCAGAATAGATGTTGAGAAATTAATGGTTTAATTCTTAAAACTTTCGTTCATATGTTGAACACCTTTGTTAATGGAGCTCTTCTTGAGATGGAGATAAGCTAAATATGTATCCATGAAAAACACAATTTTACAGCAGAATTGATTAGCCTATTTTTCTTATTTACCACCGGTTCGATTATTTTGAGGCTGATGGTAAAAACTTCCGACTTTTAAGTGGATTGGTAGCTCGCGAGTTGATCTGCGTCTAATAAATTTCATAATTTCTTCCTCGGAAGAATTCTTTGACTCACTGCTCCTGTTATATTCAGTGTTGTCTTGTGAAGTGATGGGTACCGAGTAAGACTCTTCGATCTGACGTAGTTTAGATGACGTTCTTTGGCATGGAATATCATGATTGTTTCTAAGGATCTGGCTGATCACATTGAGCAATTTTGCATCCTGTTGTTCATCTTCCATAGCGAGATCACCGGCCAACACACCAATCCTTTCAAACAGCTGTTCTAATGAAGAATCCAAATCAAGCTCACTCGAAGAAACCTTTTCGGGTGTTTCCGGCGTTCTTTTTGAAGATTTTGGACTAATCGGTCTCTTGAACTCTAACTTGGTTGCCAAATGCTGTGATGGGGATTTTTTAATGGCTGTCTGCTTAACTTTGGCGCTCAAGTTTTCGTTAGGTTTTGAGCCGCTTTCCTCGGACGTTTCTCTTAGTGGAAAATCGAAGTTATCCTGGGAATTGGTAGAAGCTGCGTCATCCTCCCTCACTGAGGCATTCTGACCCGCATCTTTCCCTCGTTTGCTAATTCCTAACATATCACATACTCTCTCTAGTATAAAATCAGCCATCTCAAATTCTTTGGATTGTTTATCAGTGTTGCTTTTGACGTCTTCAAAAGAATCGTTCAAAATTGCCACGAAAAAGTTCATAAAAATGAAGGACATCAGAGCAAGGAAGGAAATACCGTATAAAGGACCCAAAAAGCGATGAACTCCTATTAACTCATGAAATCTCATTTGGCCGCCAAGGCACATGATAACTTCAGAAAACAATGCATTGTAGACTGATGAGTAACCATGAATGTGGTCGCCGAATGCCAGCTTCCCCATCTGAGCGTATGAGACAAAAATAATGATAAAAATCACAGAATAAGACAACAATAAACTCCTAGAAACGCGAAATGAGGACATCATTATGGAGACGTGCTGATTAAAGCGAATTATGTGAAGAAGTTTCAAGGTTGTGAGGAAAGCTGCAATGGCTAAAGCAGTGGTTTCTGCATGGCTCCAGGTAACGGCTTCTCCAAAGCTAACGGTGGCGAATGGGTTTTCCTTCACAATAGCAGCGAGTTTAAGCATCAGCTTTGACTTAATTATGTAGAATACCACGACCAGTACCGACATAAATATTCGTAGAATTTCCACCCAGTTCCACACATCTCTTAAATAAGTCCACTTAGCTAGATATAGCTTGTACATCTCTACGATGAAAAAGACGAATGCCATCATGATAAATAACAACTGACAAATCAGATAAAACTCGTAAAAGCCTGTTTCAGTACTTGTCAGCAGAAGAGTGTCTATCTTTGGAAAAGGATAGCCGTACCCTGTGGGCAATATTTCAAAATGATACGCTGAAATGATTAGGTAGCCCGTGTTAGGGTTATAGATAGTAAACTCAAGTAGGACAGCGCGGGTCTGCCGGTCGATCCAACCGTATTCTATCAAGTCGGAGATGACTGCCTGAGCTGTACTGCTATTGTAGCCTAGATCTGCAACATAGCCACCTCCGTCATAAACATCGAAGTAACCCCAGCTCGGTGAGAGTTCCTCGTTTGGCACATATTGCCATGGTACCGGGCATAGCTCGGAAAAATTTGCCCATTCTACAGAACCACTGAAGGGTTCCCAGCCTGGAAGGTTTGCAGGAGTTTTATCCTCTTCATCGAAATTATAGAGGTCGTAGCAGCCCCTGTTTATGATGTCTCGTACTCTCCTTGGAACAATGCAAGAATCTGATAAAAAAAAAAAAGTAAATTACTGAGCAAAGATTTCATTGTTATAATCAGAGGAATCTACCCTCTCTTTATTCTTTTATTTCTTTTATTATCCGATTTTTCCCTTTATTCCCTCTCTTTCTTTTCTTCTCCATGATTTAGGTTCTAATATTTGCTATATTTGCACTAAAAACAGAAAAAAAGTTGCGAACTTTGTTTTAAATAATCACCACAATTTTCTAGCTCCTAGGTTCACCGTCGACGATGATTTTTACCAGTTCTATATTATAAGATTGAAAGTTCTCAAAAAATGTCATACTTACCTTTCTTTATTCTTAGTTGTCTCAAGCGAGGCATTCCTAAGAGAATAGACATCTTGTTACCAATGTACTCTTGCTTTTTGATTTTGTCGTTGTTGTACCAGTTGCTGCCGTAGACACCATCCACAAACTGAATGTCGAGCCATTTCCAGAAATACGGAGGATTGTAAGCCTAGGCAGGAAAAAAACGTTCTAAAATGTGCAGTGACCACGAACCAAAAGACACACATACCAGGAAGGAAGAGAAATATTCTGCGTAATTATAACGTGATAAATTAAAAGTTGAATGTGTGTGGTTCCAGGTGTTTAAGTGCAGCTAAGTAATAGCCACCTCCGAAATAAACTTCGCCTTCCGTATAGGGAATTTTCAGTAGTTAAATCTCGCTTTGAAATAGAATATAATAGTATCATATCGCGTTTAGCTAAATTTAAATGCGCTTGGTGGAACTTTCGGAGTAATGACAAAAATTCAAAAACGTCCCATATCTTCATCTATACCAGGCAAACCCAGGCCCCGGCCGCTGAATGCTATTGATCGTATCACTGCCTCATTCCTGTCTCCCTATCACCATGACGTTCGAATAAGGACGTTTACACTGACCGGGTCAGTCGGTTACCCTAAGATTCAGAGCTACTTACCAAAGAAAAGTTGCCAAGTGTATCTTTTAGATCCATAGTCATGAGATATCCATGATAACTTCTGCTACCGTAACACACAATTATAAGCAAAAAGAGAAACAGAAGATATCCAAGAAGCTCTCTCAAAAAGGAAAACATCTTTGCCTCCTTTGTGCTGTTCTCTCTTGAGAGTATGAGGTCATCCTCTTTTGGCATCTCTACTTTAACACTCTGATTGCCGCCGTGAGATTTTATTTGTGATTGCAGTTTCTCTTCACTATTGTAGCTGACAGTTTCAGTTTCATTTTTATCGCGAAACAAAGAAGCTGTTAACACCATGATAAGCAATATCTTCAAAGGCTGTAGAACAAATAGGTCTTGGGTGAAAGACACAAACATTGAGGAAAGCCACTGGTTCGAAATATCCTTTCCCCACTGCAAGCTGAAGAAGAACGTAAAAACGGCGCACACAGAAACAGTAACAAGGACCAAAAACCAAGCAACGTAGATAAAGAAGTGAGGGAGCATAAATTTCTTCTTGGCATCAGTCTGACTTTGGGAGTTTTTATCCAAGTAAGACCTCTTTTCGTTTAGCGTTACATCAATGTCGTGAATATCACCTGAACTGGTAGTTGACAACTTGTCACAAAAGGGAGCAGGACTGTTTTTCGGTTTTTCCACGTCGACTTTATTTGGAGTTTTCTCGCCACTCCTCTTGAAAAATGTCATAATCATCAAGTTTACTGGAGTTATTATCAGGGCGCTTTCAATTCCCACCATTATTTGTCTCCAGCTGAATTTTAACGGACCAATTTGTAGAGTTGGATCTGGCTCTTTGTCCGTCCGGTAGAACAGGGCATTTGCTAACATCGCAGACAACAGTATGCAAAGGCAACAAGAAGCTCTTTGGACACGTGAGAATTTACTCCTCGGTGGCTTAGTAACAACTGAAAGCCAAATGTGTCCATCGGAAAAACCTCTGGAGCCTTGCGATCGCAAAGAATAACTAAACGTCTGCATCTCCTGCGAACCAACAGGAGTTAAAATTCTGTTTATTTTACCGTCCCCTTTCTCCAGCGCAAACCAACCGTTGCAAAAAAATGTCCATTTTCTACCCGTCTGAAGATCCAGGAGAATCGCATGGCTTAGAAACCATGAAGGATCTCTTCCCGAATTATCATGCCATATGCGAATGTATTCAATTTCACCCAGTGACATTGGCAGGTGAATCCTAAATGTATCCTCGTTTCCACGCGCCAACAACGTCCTTGAGTCTATTGTGCTTTTGTGCAATATCAGAGGTTCACTCTGCGCCTCGTTCCCATGAATGATGATAACGATACGAGCATCAGTCCCAGAATTCTTCCACACTCCCGTGGCCAATGTCAGTTGGTACTCAAAGCCATTTGCCTCATGGCAAGAAAGTAGATGGAAAACTGGACCACTCTGAGAATAAAACAAATGCGGTGACTCGTTAAGATCAGTTTGAATTAGCAATATTTAACTCATATCGTTACCGTAAATAGTTGCAGAAAGTGAAATACCTTTGCAAGATTTGCATTTGAAGGTTGTAAAATCTTCCTCCCGTAGGGAAGTAAAAAAATAAAACAAACAAGCGAAGCAATAAGGAATACAATTTGTTGAGGATAAAGGGAAGAAACCAAATTTCAAATGAGTTGGGTTTTTAATGAGGCGGAAATTCTGTAGGGACTGTCAGATCTGTTACAAAATAGTGAAGCTGCAATGTTGCATCGCTTAGTTGTTCCAATGTTTCTACTATTCGACCTTTTGCTGATGTGTTTTTTTTTTTTTTGGACCTAACTTCCATACAGCTCAGCATCTGTCTGTGATCGACCTCCGTTAAAGTCGTGCTGAGAAGTATATATAGAAAAGCATTACTATTATCATCATTTCTGATGTGATGGCATCGAACCGTCGAGACCATGTTCTCCTCCAATTTTGGGTAATCATGGTAACAATTTGACTGATTTGTGCTCACAAAATGAAAACTCGTTCTTTGTTCCTATCTACATTAATGTATCAATCATTCTTACTTCCGCTTGATTGGTTGTTGTTACGCTTCTGATTTTATGGCTTTTGTTAATTTGACAGCTGATTATATTTCATTCTTTTTAATTCTGTCCCTATTTCATAGAAAATGTAAGTTCTGTCTTTTACATACTTTGGCCTTATCTTGTCTATCATATTTCCTTGCAAATACTACCACTAAAAAGTACAATAGCAGTACTGCAATTATTGTGACAAGGACGGCAACATTTCCAGTCTCATGGAGGCGCGTGAGTTCATAGAAGACTACATCAAAATCTAGCTTGTTCGGCATCACTAGGACTCCTCCACCAAATGACGTCAGATGATTACACAAACAATGTAAGGATGAAACCTCTGAACCTGGGCCTACCTGCAAAAAGATCAAAGGGTAAAAGGGTGAAATCATTGTCATATCGAAAAGATAGGAATAACTCGAATTCCTTAAAACCAAAATCCCGTCATAATATAATATTTGTGAGGCAAGAAACAGTTGAAAAGGAAATAATTTTTGCACCAGTCTTCAGAGATTGCATTTTTGAACAGGATTTTATATCAGCATTTTGCATTCCAGTGATTTCAAACTCAAACTTTGCATAGGCAAATAAGTCATTATAATAAATAGGCTATGACTTCATGTGTAACACGACGCAAGGCAATTTACAACATAACTGATTTTTAGGTTTTTTCAACAGATGTTATGGAAAACAGGATGATTTGCAATAACCTTCATTTAAGAAATTACTTTTACTATGGAATTTCAAGATGGCATATCTTTTATATCCACACATAGTCTTTTCCCATTATTTTAAACCACACCCTATGAAATATGTCATAAGTATCTTTCAACATCTCTCCTTCTCCCATTCAAATTTTGAGACAACTCATGTTTGGTCAGTTAAGAGGTGCAAAAAAAAAGAGGATGATGCTTGTTTATGTAATTGGGTTTAAACAATAGTCGATAAACTTACTTTGCATCCCCTTGATAACCAGCGTTCTTCTATACTGTCCCAAAACAGACAGTTTTCTTCCACCAGATTCAAAGAGTAGTTTACGTCTGTCTTTGGGTCATAAACTGGCTTTACTGTGATGTTCTCAGGTCTTGGTGCTTCTTTAACCTCCACGCATGATCTCTTTTGGCGGCCCCTCCGGAACATGATCGTTTCTTTCGTCGACTCGGAAGTTCTCCTTCATCATTTTCGTACAGTATGCCAATATAGTATTTCCTGGTTTGTTCACCTTGCAGGTAACAAAAGGACGTCGTACGCATCATTCCTGCAATGGCTGTAAGAATCTTGGGAGGACTTCAAGCATGAAGGATGCGGAATTTGCTTTTTGATACATCATGCTCTTTGACAGTTGGTCGCTGGCCATATCGCACGAATACTTTAAAGATGACTTTGCCTTTACTTGGTTTGATCTGAAAGAATAGTGATTTGATGAGTAACCATTTTAGTCTCAAGGAAATTTTCAATTGAGCATCAAAGGTGTTCCTGGTTTGCGCTGCTTTTAATCACTTCATTATGGACTGGTGTAAAATAATAATACCGCCCCTTTAACTGGTCAGTTGCAAAACGAGAGCTAGTCCCTAGTCTTGGTCACTTGCTTTTTTCCTAACCCTCTGGCTGTTTGCTTAATATAAGCCTCTTTTAAGTCCTTTTTGCAATTCTCTATTCTTAGGATTTTCGCTATGATCACTTTGGTTCGGGTTCATGAAACTTATCGAATAAGTTATAGAGCGGTAAATCCAAATTTTCATCCTTTATTCTTACAGCATCTTAAAAAGAAAACATTTAAGCCTCCTTAAGCATTCTTTTAAACAACACATATCCAGTTTTCGCCTCCACTTTCTGCCCTCTGAAAGATATTGCTTATAAGTTGAAACACCCTCCCTTTAAAGGAAGATGTCCTCGTATTCTCTCCTCCAGAATCAGTTGTTCATTTTAAAGTCATAATACTTACTCGAAATCTTACAGCGTTACCGTCTGCATGCTTCAAACTCACTATATGGTATTGCATCTTTCCTTCACTACTGGGTTTAGTAAAATACAAGCCACTTCCTTCGGGCAGAAAATTGCCCTCACGCGGAATCTTCATCTCGATATATTCGTTGCTATCTTTCACTGATAAAGTCTGACCCTCGTGGTTTTTGATGGTCAAGCTGAGGACGTTAGAATCAACACGGGCTGCACTGTCGTCCCACGTAAAAGGATTGAATGTACTCAGAGTCATCTGATAGAAAAATAAGAAAACCAACTTTGTGTTTTATAGTAGAATTTTGCGTCGATGCCGTCACAGAAGTGATGCATAGAACCCTTGATACATATATTGTAAAAGCAACGGCCAAAAAGTAGCCAGTCAGTTAAAGTTTCGCAAAGAAATCCTTTAAGAACTGGGTAAGAGAAATGCATGTTTTGGAAAGACTGATGAAAGTTTTTGTGTGATAGTTTCTTTAATAAGAGGGGAGAGGTATCCGAAATTTGTCTGACGAATAATTTGTTTTTCCTACGAAACTAAGAAGTAAACCATATATAACTACAAATTTAAAATCATTCAAATCTCCTGGGAAAGCTCAATTTGCTTACCACACTGTCTATGTACTCAGCATCTCTCGCTCTCTCGTCGGTTATGGCGTTGATGGAGAATTTGAACTCTCCTGCATAAGGATCGTCTGTAAAATTTGTCGCTGTTCCCAGTGATCTAGGACTAAGTCTGTTGAGCACCATGCTCAAGGACTGTGTTTGCACGCGGTTGGGTTCCTGGTCCACTAACATTTTTGATAGGAGAGCAACGCTTACATCATCGATAAGCTTCGCTGTGTCTTTCGAGACATTTTCGCTCTGTTAAAAACGAAAAAAAAAAACACGGAACTGAGGGAGTATATATTTGTATTTGATTTTAGTGTCGGACCTCGCGTTGAAGATACACATACACCGCCAGAAAGAGAAAAATGGAGAGTGAAAGAGGAGATGAAAACGAAGGGTTAAATGAAAGAAGAAATGAACTGATGAATGAATAAGTGGAGGGATAAATGGATGGAAACTGTCTAAATGAATGAACAAACTGATGAAAACACCAAGAAGAACGCGCAAAGAAACAGGGAAAGAGCCAACGAATTAATGAAGGCTTGGACACATTCAGAAAAGAATGCTCAGAAAACAATGAAGCAAGGTATTCACCTTGGACCGTATTTCCGATGTCTCCGCTGTTCTTTCGAGCACACTTGCCTTCTGAGAAGCAGAGTTGAGAATGTTACCCAGACTCAGTACCAGGTTCTCCCCGCCTTGTTCAACTAGGACAGACTCTGAACCGTAATCTTCTTTGGTCTTGCTTCGTAACAATGACGTCATAGATCTTAAAGTTTGAAGAGCAAGATCCTAAAAGATAGATGGAAGATTGTTTTCAAGTCTCGCAGTCAATGAACGTCAAATGTTAGAAGAATATTCGGCTACCCCTTTTCTTTGAGGTAATCATGTAATTGAGACAATGAGACCTCTCGATGAAGAGAGTTCAGCATTTATCGGTGGAGCATCGCTCCGAATTCGATGTGTAAGCGCTGTACATACCTGTGTATCAAATGTCACCTCACTCGGTTCCAGTGTGGCTCGTGCGATCACAGACGTCACTTGAGTCAAGGATTGTAAATTATTCACTTGAATATTTGACACACTTCGCACAATGGAGTCTTTGATCTGAAATACCAATAGACCTATTAGCCTAACGTTGAATAACACCCTTACTACGGATCATTTAACCCCTTTCCCTCCTCCCCAGTGCCACTTCAGCACCTCTTAAAGAGAAAAATTGGTAACAAAATATGGCGTTGTAGGCAAAACGAGGTCAAGACATTTTTCTTTCCTTCTTTGGTTGAAAAAAAGAAAAGGAAAAAAAGGGAGAGGAGAAAAATGCTTTTTTAACATGCAGTTGTAAAATTTGATTCAATTAAAAATATTGCTATATTTTTTGTAGTAATTCCAAATTTTTTAATTCAATCGATTCTGAGCGAGAAGTTGACTTTAGATGACTTGCAGTCGAGCTTGTGAAACGTCAGGTAGTACAACCCATGGCTGTCTTTCTAAGGGTCACCCTGACCTAGACGTTACGAATGCATAGTCACAGATAGCTTGAGAGGATGATAAGTACAAATACCTCTATCTTGTCTTCGGTGGACGTAGAATTTGATTCCTCGACTGTTCCTAACACAGCATTTGCTAGTTGTGTAGCACCTACAACATTCCCTGACTTGACCAAAATGTTAAACTGGCTATTGTTTCCAACTGCAAGTCCACTGAGACTGTCATTAGCAGGCGGCGGCTCGACCTAAAAGCACGGAAAGGTAACATAGGTTTCCCATAAACTGACAACTAACTTTCCCCTTTATCAAGTATCACACTGGGGCGAAGTTACGGGCGAGGGGTCCTGGGATGCCCATGACCCCTGCCCCCCTTCCTCCTTGGTCAAGCTTTTTTAAAGGCAAACAACCTACAATATTCAGTTTGCGAAAACTGTTGAGTACCGTCTTTTTGACACAGTGTGGCCCCCCTTTCACGTCATTGTGACATGACACGAGAGCAGCGTTAGGTGACTCGCAAGGGGTTTTGCTGATAGGCAAAAAGAAATTAACAGACAAACAGGCAAGCAATAAAAACAAAAAAATAACCAAAAAATCAACCAAAATCACAGAATGTTTGCAAATTGCAAAACTTGCAAATTGCACCCAGTTTGAAAATTACATAGTTTACTTGTTTATATTTCAGGAAAATATCCTAATGATGTTCGATTACCTGCCCTTCCTTAAGAGTTCGAGTTGCTAGTAATTCGAATTTTCAAAAGTTTTCAAGTTTTTCCGTGGAAAATTTACATCTTACTCTGATCATCGTATCCTTTGAACTCAAATAATGGTAAACATTTTTCTATACTATTTGGAATTTCAGACAGAGCTAGCAAGTATTAAAACAATCACCTTTAGGTGGAGAACATAGTTGCTGGAAGCCGACAGACTGTCTGTTATCAAAATTTCAAAATCAATGATAAATCCACCATTTCTCTTTCCTGAGGGAAGCACTGTTGACACGTGATCAGTAGACCCGTATTGCACGACGGTATACAAGCCATGGTCCGTTTTGTAATGAAACTGATACGTCAGAGGTTGATGTGGATCCTTAAAAATATAAGAAATGTATAATCTTTGTAGAATGTTTGAAACCGGCGGTCAATGATGATATGAACTAATCGACTGATTACTTTTATTAATTCATTTCTGAACTTAGAATAAAAAGCCTGAAAGTGTGAAGGAGGAAACTGCAGGAAGAAAAACGTACCAACACTGAAAGATCAGATTTGGTTAGAAACTCCTGGCTTTCATGTGAAGTCGCATGTCAAAGGATTGCTAAATAGGTTGGCAAGGTTTGCTCTTTATGTTTTTGGTCGTCGTACAAGAGAATTCTGTCAGGAACAAGCAATTTTATTTGTTACCTGCCTGTCAGGAACAGGAAATTTTATTTCTCACCTGCCAACCAGTGCATAAAATTGAAAATGCCGTCTTCAATGCCTGTCCACTCTTCGGAGTCACAGTGCAATTTCCGGGAATTGGCGGAGCGTTCACTCTGAACTGATAAGCTGCATTTCCAGCGGGTCCGTGGTCTTGCGAGACCCAGACTTTCAATCGATAAATCCACTCACTGTTAATGAGTGGAGGCAGTTGATTTGCTTTGATGATAATACCAGGAAGATCCATATCCGTCTCTGTCATGTTACGGGTCAGGATATTTCCTGGGAGCTCATGTCCAATGGAATTCACAATGACAAGCTGCCAGCTATAGGTTGCTGTCTGACACGCTAATCCCTCGCACGTAGTTACAATGCTGATTCTTGTAGAGGCGCTTGCCATCTTCTCACAGTTAATTAGGCATCTATGATGTAATAGAGATGAAGTTGCGAAAGGAAGTGGTATCGCAGTTGTTGTTGTTGTTTTTATTGTTGCTTATCTGAATCTATACAACACACGATACTTACGCCATTCTCAACCAATAATTTGCACAAATGCATTGCACGCATGCATTGCTAGTATACGTTGTACGCTTACTTTTGAGCAGTCAGGCTTTTAAAATATTTCTGAAGGTAACCGCTTAGAGTAAATTAAAATGACAGTTCAGAGGAAGTAGCCATGAAAATTCATGTTGGGAAGAGGCAATTTGTTCACTAAAACTGCAAATGGTTTATTTATATAAATTCCTGTGAAATCGATTTACTAACAGTTATTCCCAGAATTACGGTTCAAAAATTTGACAATAAGTTAGAGGTATGATTTTTCATCATAAAACGACACCAATTCATTAAAAAATTCGTTTCGACTGGCCAAAATATTTCAAAATAGAATTAAGGTATTAATTCTTATAGGTACTTACCGGATAGTCACTTGTGGTGGATTACCGCTGACAATCTTAATTTCTTGAATGAAGTCGTCTATTCTGTTATCCTTTGTAACGATGAGCTTCACGTCATACATCTCACCAACAGTCATCTGACTCGTGTCCAATTTCACTATTGAACCATTGGAGCTTAGTTTTCCAACACCGGTTCCAAAACATCCACCACTACCAGGACCCAGAGAGTTGTTAATCACTGGTAGCGAGTGCAACGAACCATTGGGAAAGTGCTCTTGACGTTTCTTGCACAGCCACGTGAAATGCATCGATGCATGGTTACCAGGCTCTACGTCTGGATCTCTAGAGGCTGATCCGTCCAATGAAATGGGATTTCCCTTTCCTCTTGTGACTTTGTTCCCTCCTGCAATGTCGGCTATAAGTTGAGACTTACTAATTGTAAAAAATCCTAAAGCACTGCTAATCACAGAAGGTTGGTTTGAGTAAGTTGCTCTAACATCCACGTAGTACTGCCCGTAATCAAGCATCCGTTTCTGCAAGGTCCACTCTGTAATTCTTGAATCCAAGAGAACTGTCTCCTGTATCTGGACCTTTCCTGAAGCTCTTACCTCAAATTTAAATAGATACCACGCAAATTGTAGTGCTTGTGAAGAGTTACACTCCGCCTTTCCGACATAAGCCTGGATAATAAAATCTTTGGAACGCAAGATGGAAACAGCAGATTCTCTCGCTCTTCTCTCTGGTAAATTAGTTATTTTGACTTCTGGAGGACTGCAAGATTTATCTGTGAAATAATAAGGTATGCTAAAGAGTTTTTAAATATTTAATGTGTGGTTAAAAGGTTACGAGCAATTTATATTGTAACAGCAACAGACACTTCACAACAACATCTCTGGGTGAAAGGGGGTGCTCCTTTACATAATATATGTGAAATCAGCTGCCCAATAAGGTCTAATCCTTGCGTCGTCTCTTGACTGAAAACGGGTTCAGTGCACAGATTTTGGCCATAATGGCTACTTTGTTGTCAAATCATGTTTGGTTCCCAAATGAACGAGAAGAGATCGTTGAATTGACGGTTAAACTTCGCCAAATTTGACTTAGCATTGGTCTCCAACATAGAAGGGGTTTCAGAGGCCGGCTCTGAACGCAGATGTGGAAAACAGCATGCTTTGGTTGAAAACAAGATCCTGATTGAGAAGTCCGGGGATCGAATTTCTTCTAGAGATTCTTCAGAATCCCTGCACAAAGGAACCACTCGAGCACGTCAGTAACGCATAATTGTATTAGCATTGACCTAGACTAACACTGATATCCTCGTTGACGCATCACTGCATTAAAGGAATTAGTGACGTACCTTCCACACCCCAGTAAAGCGCAGTCAAAGTTATCTTCCCCATTTTACCGGTCTTGTTTAACTTGGTTAATTCCTCTTGAACCTTTGGTGTGTCGTGTTCATTTTTAAGGTTTAAAACAGCGGTTACTTCTACGCTTCCGGGTCTGTTAGATCAAGAAAACAGAATGGAATACACAAACAGATAGAAATTGACCGATCAAAACTGACGTTTCTTGAAGCTTTCGACTAACAACGATTTGGCAAATTGATCAATCAGTTTCTTCGAGCCAGTTCCAAGGCATTCAACCGTGATGATGACTTGTGCTTAAATTTTCGAAACATAAATGAATGCCATCCATCATCAACAGTCTTTTTAAAATTTTTGACCATGAGAGTGACTAAATATTGACTTCTCCTTACAACATAACCCTGAATCAAATAGTAAGGTTACGAGATTAAGGGAAAGATTACCAAATGAAGATGCTCTCAGTTGTGTTTTAAACAAATTTTTCGTGTCGGCGTCTTATGCAATTTATTCAGAGAACAGTGGAAAATATGCCTACTGATATTAGGGCTTTGAGACTACAAATACTTTTAACGAAAAAAGTGAACACCTAACATAATAATTATGTCACATATTCGAAACATTCCACTCTAAAAAACTTCTGGTCTCAATGTAAATACATGCAAGAAAGACCGTTGCTCTTACTTCATAGAGAGAATCTTGACGGTTGTGACACCATGTGACCCAAGACGTGATAAAATCTGTAAATACATCACAGTAGAAATGAACATAAGTAAAATCGTGATTTTGTAGTGCGCACACCGCGTACTTTTTCAAGGCGTTTTCCATTTATCATAAGAACTGACACAACATGTTCTGATAGCCCAAGAGACTGCACAAAAATGCGTGCGCATATTTTAGACGATACGACAGGAAAACAATCGAAACCACGCTACTTCCGTTACCGAAGCAGGGAGGTTTCGATTGCTTCTACGGTGTAAAATCAGGGGGATTAGTGTTTCGATTCTTGTATATATATGCAAGAACCACTTCCTGTTCAAGATCAGCTAGATCTGATAAATGAAGTAATTCAAGTGGCAATAAATTAAAATATTTTTTCGATATGAAGTTTAATAACGCAAGAATGCAATCTTCCTGATATTGCTATTTCTTTACGTTAGAGCGACTTTTCAGTCATTTTGATCTTCCGTTGAGCAATCCGCTTGGATTTCTTACCTAAGTCAAAGTGTATTGAATTACTCAAAATAAAACAAAATGCAGAATAAATTGCCCACCCAAAACTAGGGCTGATCCATATATCCCGGTCACACGCTTTACGCATGCTCTTCGTCAAATGTCGGTTAAGAATGAGCTAACTTGGTTAGCTTTGTAGAGCAGTCTGACTGAGATTGTCTTCTACTCTTCTAGAAACCAATCTTGCCTTACCTCACTTGTTACGTTTGCCTCTAAACGTTTATAGGTTGCAGAGGATTCGTTAAAAAGGTCGAAGTCAAAATTGAAGCTTTTCAGCAAAAAGACAAATCGCAAAGTTGTCACTAAAAGAAAATAGATATTTAAGCATTAATGCATTTTTGTTCATTTAGTAAATCATTAACCGAAATATTACTTCTAAGAACCAGAAAGCTTGGAGAAGGGAAAAAAGTCGTGAGGAAGCTAGGTGGATCACTCCTGACAGAAGTTAGGTTTCGTGGTATCGGAGGCATGAATTCGAAGTAATTGAGAGTTTTTCTTCCCTGGACGAGCGCTCCCCCCTTCCCTGCATTAACTAGGTTGCTTTAAAGTCTGTTGGAACAACAGCTTAGTATTCGATATGTTTTTCTTCCTCTCTGTTCTAGCAACTTCTTACCTTTTCGTAACAGTGGCAATGTAATTGCTGTTGATTGTTGAGTTGAATAAAATTGACTTGAAGTTGCTGTTGTTTGGACAGTGAGGCTGGTTGAATTTCTCTCCTGTAAAGATGAATGAACGCTAAGTTTTGTCGTTTTAAATTTTTGTTCGGAAGAACTGATTTCAGGCAGTAAAGTAGAAGGTTTCGGAGTAGACTCGTCGTCAAGTGTGGACGTCGGTGTAAGCTTTTGCTGAAGGGTGGAGTTTACAACAAGTACAGGTGTTGCAAAAAGCCTAGAAGAGTTCTTGTTTGGCGGTCTTATTATCGTCGAGTTATCTTGGTGTATAATTGATGAATTTTGCTCCACAGTGTGTTTATGAGCCAATGTTGTTCGTAATGAATTTGATTGTACAGAAGCTGATACCGTCATCAACTGTTCTGCAGAATATTTTTGGGAGACAAGATTTGTTGGTTGCAATGCTGTTGTAAATTTTTGTTCTACGGTTAAATTTGCCAGAGGAAGGGCTGATGGCGGTATTTCAGTGAGAATGGAACTGTTTTGAGGAATAAAAATTGTCAGTTGCACAAAGGAGTTCGCTTGAGATTCGGCGGATGTAGGCTTCAGGCTAAAAGGACTGTCTTGAGAAAGCAATTTCACAGCTGATTTTGTTTGATTAACAGGTGATGATGGTTGTTCAGCAGAATTGCCTTGGAGAATCAACGACGAAAGTTTAATCGAAAGATTCTGCTGAGATGCAGAAGTTGAAATCTGCTCAGTATTGCCACTGTAAGGTATTGGAGTTGCATTGTGTACCTTTGAGCCAACGTCAAATAAATCAGTTGTTGGTTTTCCACTATATATCTGCGATGTAGGTTGCTGCTTATAAGTTATATTTCCCTGGTTTGTAATGGATAGTAGCTGCTCAGTGTAGTTATCTTTTGTAATCAAAGATGCTAACTTTATAGTAGAATACGGCCTAGTTGAAGTTGTTGCTAACTGTTCAGCAGAATCATTTTGAAACATTGAAGGCAGTGATAGTAGTTTTGGAGTTGAGTTTACGTAAGGTTCGTATGTTTTTGTCTGTTCCAAAATGCTGTTTTGAGGTTTCCTTGAAGAAAGTTGGGCAAAGGAAGTAGTGTGAGATGAAACAGTTGTTGGCTGTCCATTGGAACCATTTTGAACCAGAAATGTGAAATTTGGTTTTTGTATAGGTAAAGTTAGGTTTCCCACTGATAATAATGATTGAAGAGAAGAACTGTTTGAAGAAACCATAGTCTGAACCTTGGCAGGGGCACTTTCGTAGGAATTCACTGATTGCTCATGGTATTTACTCTGAGTGAGAGAAGCGTTATTGTGCAGTTCCTGTGCTGAAGTCACCTGATCCACTACCGATGATGGCTGAGCAGTTGAATTGTTTTGAAGTGTCAAAGATGGAATATTTGCAGAGGAACTTTTGAGTGGAGTAACGGTTATTGACTGACCGTACTGGGTACTATTTTGAACCAAAGAAGTGCTATTTTTTTGTTCCAGAGTTGAATGTAGTTGCACCACTGGTGATAATGTGCGACTAGGGTAACTGTTTTTAGATATCGAGGACTGAAGCTCAGTGTTATTGTGTAGTTTCTGTGCTGAAGTCACCTGATCTGCTACCGATGATGGCTGAGTAGTTGAATTGTTTTGAAGTGTCAAAGATGGAATATTTGCAGAGGAACTTTTGAGTGGAGTAACGGTTATTGGCTGACCGTACTGGGTACTATTTTGAACCAAAGAAGTGCTATTTTTTTGTACCAGAGTTGAATGTAGCTGCACCACTGGTGATAATATGCGACTAGGGTAACTGTTTTGAGATAACGAGGACTGAAGCTCTGACGGGGAACCTCTGAAGGATGTAAGGGTTATCGGTTGTCCAAAGGACGTATTTTGAGCTAGAGAAATGGTGTTTTGATGTCTCAAAGATGTTACTGATTGGTCCAATGATGATATTTTCTGACCAATGGAAGTATTTTGAGGTGGCAAAGACGGGATTTGGTTAAAGAAACCTTGATGAGTTGTACTAGTTGTTGGCCATGGCTGCCCATAGGATGTGGTATTTTGTTGCTCCTGAGTTAAATTTACCTGGTCTACTGATGATAATGGCTCACCAGCAATCAATGACGCATTCTGTGGAGAGGGATTCAGCTGAGACTCAACTGTCTTTGACTGTTCTGTAGAAAATTTTTGAGGATGTAAAGGTAATGATTGTACTACATTCGTCATTCCATATTGTGGAGTTGAAAGCGTGCTAGGTACAGCCGTTCCTTGCACTCCAGCAGTGCTTGAAGGTGTAGGTATCTGCTCTTCATGGGAGCTATTCTCTGGCGCCGTTGTTGATGTATGCCCAGAAGAACTCGTTTGAGAAATCAAAGATGCACGCTGCTCTTTTGAACTCCAGTGAGACTGTAAACTAACTTGCTGTTGATTTCCGGTGGAACTGTTTTCAGAAGCAACTTTAAACGTTTCTAGAGATGCAATATGATTGTGTGTAGCCAGAGTTGCGCTACTTGTATCGAGCACAAGTGTTGCTGGTTGATATCGCCCTTGCTGGTCTACCTGTGAAGCTACATCTGGAGATCGAGCCGTAACTGATTCCTTAGTGGATGCGTCCAATGCCTTTGATACAGTTGAGTCGGATTGCAGAGCTGTAAAAACTTGATGTGCAGTTGTTGTTGGATGCTCAGTGTAAGTTACTTGACGTTCTAAACTTGTCGTTGCTTGCACAATCAGCCATGTTGAAATCAGTTGAAGTCTTGTAAACAAGAGCATCGTCATCAGAACGATGAGAACTTAAAGTATGTAAATTAGGCACGCTAGGACCGAAAGAAAAATTAGTTGCTAGACATTAGTAGTGACCATTTTGCAACGAAATAAAAAGCACTCACAAAACCGTGCGTGACTAAAATATAAAAGCGCTTGATAAAGAATATGTGTGAATTAAATTGACAACGTAAAACTTAATCAAGGGATAGATAAGGAACAAATGTGCGAAATTAAAAGAAAAGAGTATCGTTTCGGCAACAGCTCGGAGTTATTGTTTTCTTTTCGTGGACAAATCGTTGGCAATAATTCTAAAGTTGTGTATACATTTTTTTTGGCCAGCTGTCCTTAGCGCAATATTTGCAATTGTGCATAAGGATGTCTCTGGCTGTCAAGCAACCTAACCGCTCGGGGCCACACAGAACTTTTATTAAGTCTTGTAAGGTAACTGCGACCTACAGCGCGTTACCGCATTCGAAATCCATTGTCGTCATTTCCTGACTTGACTAAACACATACCCCGGAAATATTTTCCACTTATTACCCAAAAATGTTCTCAAAAGGCGTAAGAATGTCAAGATAGATTAAGATTTCACCATGTTTCGTTGGGTGAACGATTGCGGAAAATATATGTGCACCTTTCGATTCCGAACCCAGGGCAAGCTGTCTTCTGAACATGGATGTGAAAGGCTTCTCGCAATTAAATTACGTTTTTACGGGATACGTCCTACGGTTTTTGTTTAGTCTTCGGCAATGTTAATTAATCTTTTCTTCTTACCGAAGTAATGACCAACAAAACAAAAGGAACTTGAAATTCAATCAATGCTTACAGCTTTGACCACTCCAAGAAGTTCAAAGAACTATTTTGAACTGTTAGTCGCCTTTAATATCTTATTTGAACTGTGAATCATAAAAGCTGTTCGAGAAGCTGTACCACTAACTAAATACATGCGTAGTTATATTTAAAGTTGAGATAAGGCATGGTTGTAGGCAGGACACGGCCAAATTATCCATTCTGAAAGGGCAATCGACTGGAAATTTTTAATCAATTATTCAAAATTAACTGTTTGTGAATCTGGATTAGCCATGAATATTTTAAACGAAATATAGCATGACCGTCCTAAAACATGGTCATCCCGATTTATATCCCATGGTCATCCCGATTTATTTTCCTCTTGATATGCGTTTTTCTACTAAAAAAAAGATATGCACTGTTCTTGAGTGGTTTTTGAAGTGGCCGTTAATGATCGAGAATTAGAATAAATTTCGTTCCGTCGCGAAGCAGTGTAATTTCTCGCAACTTTCTTCAAGTTGTTCGCTTTTTCTTTAAGCAGTTCCACTTGCGTATGACCGAAGCCATCCCAGATAAACAGTTGAAACATAAAGAGCTCATCATGAGTAAAAAGAAAACACGACGAATTAATGCTTTAAACTGGCTAGAACATTCTCGATAATTTAATCAACGCAAAATTTCTCACCACAGTAACAGCAGAACACACCCGGAACATTCTATCTTTGCAAGAAAAGAGACACATTTCGCACGGTGCCGTTTCGTTCTATCTTGCCAGAATAATATGGGCGAAATGTTCACAATTCTTGTAAGATAGATTGCATTTTTTTGCACGTCATGCGTCATATCAACTTCGATATCCTAACGACCCTTACGCTAACGGCAAAAATGGAACATATTTCCGTCAGATACCAGCCTTTGTAACTTACCTTTGAAAGCATTCCGTAAAGAGTTTTAAAGCTGACGTTTCGAGCGTTGGCCCCTCGTCAGAGCAATGAAGAAGGGCTAACACTCGAAACGTCATCTTTCAAACTTCCTTTGGTGGCCAATTTACTAAATTACCCTATAATATTCTCCCACCGACGCAGCACCACAGTTTCTTTAGAAACTTACCCCCTTTATGAAAGCATTTACTCGGAATAATAATATTTTCCAACTGGAGTAAAACATAAGTTACCCGAGGCAAAATTTATTTTCGCCGTTATTTTTGACGTCAGAACGACCTGCTTGAACCTTCTCCACTAAAGTAAAATCTTGACTTCATAGAAGTTGTGTTTTATGAAAATCAAAAATTCTACCTAACCCAGCCCGATTGTAGATGAATCTAGAAGAGTAATTATAAGTTATTTGCTCAATACCTTGAACATTAAGTGATCTTTCGCGACTTTTGAGCACACTTTGTTATCCATTAAAATCTGTAATTATGCATGATGGCCGAGTTTGCGCCTGGTCGAGTTCGTAAACAAAACACCTATTTTGGTCATCAAGAAAAGATGTTCCTGTTAGATCTTTATCGCATGAAATGATGACAATTGATGTCTGAAGCCCTCAGGCACCCCGCAAAAACTCTGTAAGAAAGTGTTCAATAGAGAGTCATCACTAACTACATTTAGAATAAAAAATAGTGCCGCTTTTGCTAACAGCCGATAAGGGGTGTAAAATTTACTCTAATGCTGTATAAACTTAATTATAATTATTGGAAAGGGAACGGTTCTTGAGATCGCCCATGTCTAATATTTTTGCACGTTAAAGAATTCATTTAAAAACAAGATATTTTTTAATTTAAAAATGTGGCCGAATAGATGTCGCTGACTCAAAGCATATGAACGTGAACTACATCTCCGTGGCGCCAGTAAACGTTACCACTTACACAGTAGTCTATTTATTCGATGACACACCGCAGCCATCATTTAAAGGTATCGCTTGAAGTTTAATAAGTGTCATTTTTCAGAAAATGATAATAAGGAAAAGTCAACAGTAAACAGAAAGAACGTTCAAAATGCTTTACACCGTCTGTTTTAGTGGGAGAAATTGGCTTACTCTCTGCAAATATTCCGAAATTTTACCTTCTCCTCTCTGATTCGAGTAAAAAAACTGCGTTGTTATTGAGAGGAAAACATTCTTATCGATATTAACCTATCCCGGCAACCCCCGCGCCTATAGGTGGAATTCCACCCATCATTTCCGGTTGTCTCGTCGAATATTGCGTTACTCCTGATTCCTTCCAAATTTGGTGTGTATGACGTTAAAAGGTTAAACAAATCATGTAGCGAGTTTGGAGGGCGACAGTTAAATGTGTGCTACCCAACGTTCACTTGAGTGCTAAAATTTCACCGTCGAAGATGGCCTCATCGTCGAAGCGTGCACGGGTGAGCTTTATCTCCGCAGAAATTGCTTTAGAAAAAATATTTGACGATGAAGACTCCGCTGATGGGATGGACAGTGGAGAAGAAAGTGATTTAGACCGGCAGATCGAGGTGAGAAGTCAATATCGGCCATCGCGAAATGGTCGCCACCGCACATGTTGTCTTGAAATGCGAAGTTGTTCGCCTCAGATAGCCCTTTTGTGATTGATTTCTCGCGTACTTCTTGAAATTTGATTACAAATTGATTTTTGCGACTCTGAAAATCAATAATTTACGCTAAGAGTGTGTTTTTAGCGATGAGATGTGATGCGATTCAAACTATTTGCACAAGCGAAATATTAGACGCGTAATTCGATTAGCTGCTAGTTGTTGCTATGGAGAAATGCATTTTTCGAACGCGTCGGATGCTTGGGATTCGTTGGCGATTTGGCGATTTAGTTCAGTATCGCTTGTTCATTCGGTTAATTTTGAGTATTTTACGGAATATAGGCAGTGTACATTTTATATTTTTAGCGAGGGAGAAGTTGAAGATGACGAGCGGCCGGAGGAGGCTTGCGCTTCGACTTAGGAACCCATGGCTCCTGGTGAGTGAAATATTTCCAACCTGCGAAATTTAACAACAAGTATAATTTCCGAATGTGTATACCATAGAATAACTTGAATTTGTTTAGGATATTATTCTATAAATGTTGAGGATAATTGATTTATTCATTGAAAATTATATTTTTGTTTGAATGTGTTGTTGGTGGCCCCTCTGCTCCTTCTGCTGCGACCAGATTCTAACCACAAATAGTGTACTACGTAATTAAGTCCATGAAGTGGTGGAAAACTATGGTTTACCACCTATTTGACATGGCTGTAATCAATGGCTTTATCCTTTTGAAAGAGCATCAGGCTCAGTTTCCTGACAATGAAGCTCTAAAAAGGCCCTCTCAGTATTCTTTGTGTGATTTCTGGGAAGAAATTGTTAGGCAACTCTGTGGTTTACCCGATTATGGTAGTCCACCAGAGAATACCATGGTGAAATCACCCCCTTCCACCCCAGAGGAATTTACAACTGTCCATATCCCAGTTTTCTCTGATACAAAGAGACACTGTGTGGTATGTTATAAAGAGGGTAGAGGAGATTTCAGGGTTCGATCTTATTGCAGTGCCCCTCAATGTCAAAAGTATATGCATGTTAGTAAGGGTTGGGATTGTTTTGCAGTGTTTCACTCTAAGAAGTACCACAGGCAAATTTTGCTGATGTTTATTCCAATGTTTTCAGATGTTGTGTTTCTCAAAAATATCAGAAAAAAAACCAACTTTTTTTACCTTGTTGCTTTTATCTTTGTGAGTGGGAATAGTTGTGATTTGGTCCTAGTTTTCTCAGGGAGGACTCTCGTTAGTTAGTAGGGATGTTAAAAGGCAAATTCATTCACCCAGTAACACATCAGGGCCTACCCATCCCCCTGTTATAAAGTCGAATTTCCCAACAAATTTTTTTTTCTGCTAATTTTTTGAATGACATGGGCGCACATAAAAATTCATAAAAAATTCATTATTAATTCTTTTTCTTTCAGATTTTCAGGAAATGTTGCTGAAAAGGTAAACTTCTGCTATCAATTAATCTTAAGTAACCTTTACCTGTGAGGAAAAGTGACTTTGACCTCAAGTTTTACACTATGTCTTACTTATTTTGTGTTTTAAATTTTACTTTTTAGGAAAGTCCTGGGTTTTTGCTAATGTTTTTGGAATGACATGGGTGCACATAAAAATTCATAAAAAATTCATTATTCTTTTTCTTTCAGATTTTCAGGAAATGTTGCTGACATGTTAATAATTAACTTCTGCTATCAATTAATCTTGATTAACCTATAC